TTTAACACATGCTGTTGCTCCTAGGGTACTGGATATTGTCTTTCTGCATAAAGCTTCCATTAAGAAACTGTAAGACTGATTTGAAACCTTTGGACACTAGCTGCACAAAAGGAAGCAGCATTTTGGTTCTGCATGGAAGAATCTGGGGGGATTATCTAAGAACAATAGGAGTTTATTGCCCCCTTTCTCTCCTATTTTTAAATTGGATTCTATGGCAGCTCATCAMTAAAATACCTTTCTAAAAAGGACAAATCCCCCAAAGATAGCCTCAGGTTTTCTGTATCCGTTCTCCTGCTCTTCTGAGCACAAGATAGCCTGATCTGGGGACCTTATAGCTGTGCTGGGGTAATGCAGTGTCTGAGTTAATAAGCCCTGGGCGGATCAGGAAGGATTAGCCAGAGCACAGAGCAGTGCTTTGAGACCAGAGACCACATTTAGACAGAACAGGAGCAGCACGAAGCAAAGCCATGGCCAGCACTGACAGCCACGAGTTCATCTGGCAGAGGACTGGTTCCCCATAGCCATTATAGCCACAAGCCTTGCTGATTTTAGAAACAGGGGACAAATACCAAAAGGCTAAAAGATAAGCTAAAGTCTTTGGTAGAACCTCAGTTGTGCAAACCCACAAACGCAGCCTAGCTGCAGCCCAAATGGCATCTTCAATAGCCACATCTATATCAGTAATGAGAGCACACAGCGGTGCTGGAGAGCGTTAAAGCACTTTCAGTCCCTCCAGCAAATGTTTTTTTTGCACAAATGTGTGGACACACACAGGCACATGTCCATGCCATTAAGGAATGCAGCTGCTACCCAGCTTTTTCTTGGAAGAGCTCTGTGCACAGTGTCAGCCAAGAAAAATTTCACATTTACAGGAAAACCCACGGCTGTTCTCGCCCCGTTATGCAGTAAATCAGTGTTGCACAATGAATGTTGACACAATAATTCTCAGAGGGATTTCACAGACAAAACAACCATGTATTCATGCCTGCTAACAAAATAAGCCTTGTTTTTTGCATATATTTACTCAGAAATGATTTCCTAACAAACTAAACCAAAGATATGAGTATCACAGATCATCTTATATCATCATATATTGTACATAGCAGATTTAACTTGGAAGATCTGAAAGAAAATTTTATTGCTTGGGTTTCAGCCAATATTTAAGAGAGATCTTAGTTGCTCAAAACTGGCCAATCCACCAAGGTCCCAGATGACTGAAATGTTGCTGTTAAGTTTAATTTATAATTCAAAATCAGTCTGTCCCCAGAGCATACTGAAGGGTTTCAGAACAGATATGGGTACATAAAAAAATGTTTGAGCTAGGAAACCCTGGGAAAGAGTATATAACCAATGTTTATAGCAATTTGTTTTCCTTAGATAGCTGTTGAATTTTGCCCAGATGTTGCCTGGGGAAGAACTAGCTGGCACAGACCAAAACCCATGTTATTAAATTCAACAGGAGGGAAAATTACATGGCCTTTCCTCAAGGCCACCCGTACTGACAGATGCAGTGAAGTTGCAGAGCAGCTCCTTTGCTGCACAGTATCTGAACACTTTTCCTAGGCAGACATAAGGGGGATTTATTTCTTCTTCAACCTACCTAAATCAGTTTTCATCCCCACAAGTGGTTTCTAACAACTCGACCACAATTTGGTCGGGGATGGAGGTCACTAGACTGGTACTTGCCAGGTCACACTAGCTTGTCAGAGGCCCCAGACACCCAGCTGGCACACAGGTATCTACAAAACTTGGTGCAACAGCTTTCCTRGTTGATTTGTCCAAAAAACAAAGATATGACCATGGGAAAACAAAAACTCTCTTATCAGTTGTGCACTTTCCATGATGCTCAGGACAGGATCTGGCAAGGGCAGTGAGAGGCAACAAGCATCACTCTTCTAGAGAATCCCGTCTGGTGAGGAAGTCCCTGATAACCACATTTTGTTCTGAACAAATGCAATATTACATGTCTGCACATGGCTGTCCTAACCAGCCCTTTACCTTGTTGTCAGGATGCCTCATGTGGCTCAGTGGCTCCTGGGGTTGGTGTCAGGGCCCATGGGGCAGAGATCGGCCTGTCCTCCTCCATGAAGGCACCAGGGTGGCCCCAGCATCAGACACAGAGCAGGGATGGGGTCAGGGGGAGCCTATGGCCAAGCCATGGCAGGGGTGAAGCAGAAGAAAAAACGCAACCAGGATTCACCTAAAGAACAAGTTAATCAAGTTAATATTTTTTTTCCTGCTCTGCTTATTCTGTTATCAGAAGTCCTTGACCAGCTGGACCACAACCCTGGTAGGTAACATTCACCACAGCTCTCCAGCTGCTCTCAGGTGCTTTGCCCAGTASGATAAAATGCACTAAAATAACCCTATCTGCAGCTTGACAGTAGCTGACTATATATCAAATAAAGATATATTCATTTTATTCCACCCACAGATGATTAATGCTCTCCTAATATCAACAGTTTCTGATTCATAGGGCATACAGCTTAAAAGCAACACAGGCACCTCATTTAGCACTCAACACCACTTTGGGGACCAGACCTCCTGCATTGTGTTGCTGCAGCTTATCACAGCTTTAGATCTTTGGGGATCTAGCACAAAACACTTCCAAATATTCCTGAAAAGGATCRATTTCCTATGGACATATGAAGGATATGTTCTAAACTAAAAGAMAAAATATCCAGTGCTGGAAAATAAACAGATACACATTAGGAACATATACATATGTGTGCATGTTTATATACACATATTCATTCAGTTTTAAACAAAAGGAAGGTTTTATTTCACCAAACTGTAGACATCTATAGCATAGCTATTTATATCTGGCCTAACCACTCCAAGCTCCCTTCACAGTCAACAGATAAGACAGGCATCTTTATGGCATGACTCATCTGACCTGATTTTAGATATCTAACTAAAAAAAAAAAAAAAAAAAAAAAAAAAAAAAAAAAAAAAAAAGTCACATCCCCAAAGGGTTGTTTCTCTCCCCTGATTAAAGGGTAGGCAAAATGATTAGCTTGGGCACAGACCGACCYTTTTTAGTGAATCTCGCTCCTAAAAAATGATATCACTGTATCCAAACTCCTTCACATCAGGAATGCTCACATTTATCCCAAAGACTTTCTTCCATAACCATACACAGAAGCTAAGAGCATTGAGGGAGCCAGCTGAAGAAMCCCTTTATAGCCAAAATGACTCCTCTGACCAGAGACCTGCAAAATCTAGTCTCATTTAGATGCAGAAGCATCATTTTTACAGCCTTCACCCATGTAACTCTGCAAGCAGAGCTGGACCATCTTTGCTGCACATATTTGAAGCACGGTAACTCACAGAAACCTGTTTCCCTGTGATCTCCTGGTGAGCATGAATTATTGTGGACATCTTCAAGAAGAAAACCAGAAGAAAACCAGAAGAAAACCAGAAGAAAACCAGAAGAAAACCAGAAGAAAACCAGAAGAAAACCAGAAGAAAAAAGAATACATCCCATATACCTCCCTTCCTACCTCCCATATAACAATTGAAGTAAAAAGACTTGAATGTTTAACACAAGATGCTCTTTTGTAGCTGGAACAAGAAAACAGCAACTGCAATAATTATGCAATGGTCTGTTGATAAATATTTGGCTTTTGAACCCTATCCTTCCTTCCATACTGTCAAGGGGACACTGGACTTCCACTTTATGAGGTCTCATAAAGATAAATATTTCAATAGATACTGTATCTATATTCTGTTCTTTCTATATTTGGTCAAATATTTCATTTTACTTTATGGTTGCGATAATTATTTATAGAGAAGCCTAGAATGCTGCTAATTGTCTGGAAGTTGTTTCATGCCTCAGCTGGCAGGTTGGGGTAAATGTACTCTATGGACACTCCATATATTGTCAAAACAGGGAAAAATTTAGAAATGCTGGAATGCTGCACTGAGTTGGCTTGCATCACTAAAAAGGCTTGTTATATTCATTTTCGGTAATGCTTCTTCTCTCTGACATTAAAAATAAACAGCAGCATTTTTTCTGTGCACTGGAGAAGCTACATTACTGAGAAAACCATCTTTTGAGAATCAGTACAGTCTTTGTGACTCTGGCCACCCTGACAGATTTGGTTCAGGTGTTCCTTCATCTTCCCCAATTACAATTTATGACTGTAGGCAATGATCCATCAAATCAGACCTTACTTGAAGCTTACATTAGCAAAGGCAAGCAGGCGTTTCCTGACACCAATGAGCAGAAAAACTATCATTATCTAATATAAATTATCACACTAGAAAAGGAGAGTTTATTCGAGAAGAAAAAAAATATGCTGCAGAAAATAAAAAGTCCATATTTTTCAGAAAACAGTTAGAGACTCCTGTGATACAGGCACAGGAACAAATCCTACATCACTGCAAGTTCAGTCTCGATTCTCCTGAAACTTCTACCAATTTAAGCAAGCAGAAGATGTCACCTGAATTCAGTTCATTGCTGAACCACCACCATTCTTGTTAGTGATAAGTGACATGTCCTCTCTGCCCCTTAATGCTCAGCTACAAAAATGAAAATTTCAGGAGCTTCTCTTCATCAGGAAAAAGAGAGCACCACAAGTCTTGAATGCCCATAAAGCACACAACCACTTCGAAAAAGGAGGTATTACAGAAATGGGGCAGCAAGTGAATTCTTAGCTTCTTAAGAAAAATCTTCACAATAAAAATTGCTAGACACTAACACCACATTCCAGTCCCATAATGAAAAGCTAGTATTAAGGAGGGAAGATCACAAATCTTCACTGCTTGCTGAGGGTGCAGAAGGCAGGTGCACCCTCTCTGAACGATTACTCCCCTTGAAAACGTGATCAGCAAGAGAAAAAAAGAAGTATTAAGAAACAGAAGCTGGGGATAATCAAATCTACAAACCTTTCCCAGACAATTACCAGTGTATTAATATGAATCTTCAGTTGGAGGAAAGAAACAGAGACTTAGAAACTCAGTTGTTTATTTCAGTCATTTTGCTATAAACTTTAAGCAGGAAAATGCAATGCTTTGGTCTGTTTAGCAGCAGTATTCACCACTTTTTGCTTGAGCTCCATTCAGTTGATGCTGGCTGTACCTGATCTGTGGAGCATGGCAACACCCTCAGTGCAGGGTTCTAACACCTTCTTGGAGGTGAAATTACCCTTCCAGCTCAGGCTGCACCCTGTTCCTGAACGACTCCGCTCAGCCCATGGCCAGGTGTGATGATTATACATAGAATGAGTTATTCACAGACATATTTGTCATGATTTCCCCTCCTCCCCCAGCTAATTTTCTTTTTTTTTTTTTCTTTTTTTTTTTTTTTCTGGTAATATAAGAAAGTGACCTTTAGATTTCTTCCTCTCATGTAAAGGCAAATTTCTAATCCTCAGTTTCGCAAACCCTGAGCCTAAGTAGCCTAAGACTCAAAATCAACAGACAAGCCCAAAATGCAGATAATTTACTCCTTCAGATGATCTGATTAAAAATCTCGTGGTTTTGAAGGCCTCACTCACTGTGACAATGTACGTGCAGTTGGTCACTGTGCACCACTACCTGAACTTGTTCTCCAAGTGCCACGCAGGTACTTCATGATCATGTTGCAAATCAAATTGTTTTCATAATCACTTGCCAAAACTTCCTACCTGGCTGCTACACCTGGCAGAAGTGAAGGGATGGAGCCATAAACGGCTGAGGAAAGAAAAAGYGTCAGTCAACTCAAGGAGAAACCAGAGGCAAAACTCCCTTTCCTCCCCATTCCTTCCTCTGCCCATGCTCATGCAYTACCGCCAGGTGGAGCAATCCCCATAACCCACATTTGAGCTCATTTTCAGACCTAAAATGAACAAAACAAAAAATAAACAACCTAGTTCCCACCCTTCTCCCAGAAATCCAGTAAGTGAGGCTCAGTTTCTTTCCATCCTCTCTTTTCAATGCATTTACGCTTTCAGTGATTTTTTGACAGCGTTGGTCAGCCCATGCAGGGTGGGAAAATCAGGACGGCTGCCACACAAGATGCCCGTGGTTATGCCAGGCAGCTCTCCAGGTTCAGCACCTCTATCTTCACTCCAGCACACTTCATAGCTGCTAGCATGCAAGTACTGACTGCCTTCCTCCTCCCGCTCGACACCATGGAGATGCAGTGGSTCTGGCTGTTCTCTTTGGGGCACTGGTAAGGCAGCAGGCAGGTGCACTGGGTCTCTGTCAAAGAACATGTTGGCATTTTAGCTGCAAACACATTTGTTTACAATTTGACAACATTTCAAAATCAGCAGGGAAAAATGACATTGCAGCTTTATGAAAAATAAGTTTGAAAGCCTATTGTGCACACAAAGACATTGAGCTATTAGAAACAGAGACATAAAGCTTTAAATTTCAGTTTTTACAGTGCTGGCCCATACAGCAGCAGAAATGAAATTCCTAACAATTTTTATCCAGTAGTTTTCCCTGACCTTTCTTCTAAACAAGAAGTTGACTTTCTGTTCCCAACTACCCTTACACACAAAGCTGTTGTGAAACGGAGTCCCAAGGTCAGTATTGTGTCAGGTTCTATTTCATCAAATCTCTTTTTAAGAATGCTAAGCTATTTGCTGTTGGCCTTACTAAAGCTTGATAGTGCCTGTTATTTCATTATCCCTTTCTTATCTAATCAGATTCTAAATTTTTAGCTACTTAACCAGAATTTACCTAGGCAGGAAACTAAGTTTCTGACTTCCTTTTCTTAAAACATGTGAAAAGTGTGTTTTTTCACCAGTTTAGCTGTTTTTACATGGTACTGCAGTGTATTCTGCTGGAGTTAACASCAGCTACTCACACTCAGGAATGCAAAAAACTTCTACATGCTGAAGGTTTGTATTTCCTTGTGGGAAAGACGATTTTTGTGAAAGTCAGTAAAAGTTCAATTCAAACCTCCTGAATACCACAATGAAATCTCATTTTATTTAAATATAACTTGTACTCCTGTTTTTGCTTGCAGAACAGGACTCCTGTCAGCCTTTTGGAGAACAGCTGGCACAGGATACAACTTCAAGTTATCTCCATAGTGGGAAAATACCTCAACTGTTTAAGGTCTCTGGAGTAAATAAGCCCACGGCCTCTCTAAATTATAATCACCTTCTGAAGGCTCCTGCACACTGCATTGCCCAAGGCGCAAACTTGATCCTGGGACCAAGCCTCACACAGGAACACCACCTCATGTGGCAGCTTTACAGCCAYCTACCTCAAACTCTATACTGTCATCTTTGCAAAATCAAGTTTTACAATTACTGCACATCACTATTGCCTTTTTATTTGTCATAAGATATGATAAGGATCATCTTCATCTCTGGAAGCAAGTACAGGAATGAGTAGAGCTGCCACTCAGCCTTTTCCTGGCAAACATATTATGGATGCCAAACCAGCACCTCATGCACTTACAGAAAAATGCACAGCTCTTATCAGCCATTTACACTGCAAATAGTCAAGTTGCACAACAGTGTTTCTAATATAATCCTCTTAGAGATTTCACCACACAGCTTAGTTCATTAAAACTCTTAATGAACACAGTTTTCACATATGGGTATTTGCAAGATTAAAATCCCATTAAGTTTGATGGCCCCTGTCTTGTTTTCTAAGTAGTACCATGATTTAATTTCATAATTCAATTATATGCTATTGAGGGTGTGAGCCAGATTAACTCCTGGAGTACAAACTAGTATTTATAGTACCCTCACAAGGAATGGGACATAACATTGTGGAGGAGGTCTTTGTGGTTGAAGAYTTAAATACTAGTTCTCCTAACACCATAAGTTCCCTTAACCTTCAAGTTCCTATCATGCCTTAACTACTAATGAGCAGCAGCACTTCTGCCAAGGGGAAGGCAGATATGAATGTGCAACACATGGTAGGTGCAATGAAGGAGTGGCTACACTTTCGTACCCTTCTCAACACAGATTGCTCAGAGAATGCAAACCACAATGTCTGTACATCTCATCCTTAGAGCAATGAAGCAACCAACATGCTTTATTTTCACTGTCTAAATACTGGATAAATCACACCATTCAGAAGTCATACCTGCACACTCTTCCCAGTCATAGCAGGTGTCATAGCCACATGGCACTTTCTTCAGGCTATTTGCAGAGAGCTTTGCCCTTTCAATAGCCCAGTCTTGGTTGGTATCGCTACGACAGGGGCCAACATGCAAGAAATGAAATGACTGCTCTTGGAGGCAATTTTCAGCTAAATACTCGCAGCTGGGCTTTGTCATGGTCTGTTCTGAAGCAGCATGCAGCACACAGATGTCTTCTGAGTAGTGGCTGCCCCAGGGGAAAAAAAAATTAGTAGACTACGGAACAAGTCTATTCTTCTAAGTACTCTGCTGGTGTAGGATGAAGAGCTACAGGAAAACCATGGCCAGACTGTGTGTATATAAATATATACACACACACACATACATATATATTAAGATGGTCTCAGCAACAGTAGCATCTGGACTTTAGGAGGCCCCCAATACCTCAGKCTAGCCCATTCAAGACAAGGGAGCTTTATTTCCATTCAATACATGAGAAATGAAGGGTACATCCAACCGACAAAAATGGAAGGAGAGCTCCATGCATGCTGTTATCTTCACACATCATAAAAAGGCACAGTAAACTAGCACAGGCCCTGGGGGTAATTTGGCTGAATTAATGCAGCACTGGCACCATGGGTGCAAGTTTGCCTCTGAGGTCTAATTAGTTCGGGACCAGTGGCAGGCAAACACAGCTATCCTGCTTATAAGTCCTTTTTGCATTGCTCATGGTTCCCAAGTGAATTAATTCCCTGCCTGTTTAGACAATCCCAAATAGTATCACATAGTGGAGTTCAATCATTTTCTAGAAAGAGGGAGCAATACTAGTTCACCTAGGGTAGGCTTCTAGGGGTTAAGTCTTCAAAAACCTTAGTTATCATAGGACTCAATCAATCTATTTGTGAGAAAACCCTTCAAATGTGTTGTCTCTCTGCTCGGTGCTCTTGTGGCAGCACAGATGCCTGGTTATTTGGGGAAYGATATAAGTAAGACGAGCCCCATGGCAAGGGATTGCCCACGGACACACAAGAGCTCTGTGGTGGGATGTAGTTGGTCTCGACTCTAGAACAATCCAGTCAGTATTTGGTCTGTGCTGATCTTTCCCACCCCAAACACCTGAACAACTTTTGAATTGCATCACATCTCCACCTCTACAACAATTTTGCTAAAAATCCTCCAGGAACAGAGGAATGCTCTATTTGCTGGAAGGCTAAAAGACCAATTCATGTTCTACGAAGAGACAAAATGACCAAGTCTTGTGTTCTTTTATGTACTCTGGAGACACAGACACACACATGTTTTTATGCAGCATATTCATCTGAAAAAAAGGGTAGCTTCAAACACATGGTTGTGCAAATTTAAGATAATAGCAAAGATTAAGAAACTGGGGGAAAAAACACRAACAAAACCAAAACAAAACAAAAAACAAGAAAAGGAAAAGCAGACATTTCCAGTAGCAATGAAGGTGTAGAGTAGAAAGATCTGTTTKGATGCGTTGTTTAGTCAATGTCATTGTTTATAGACTATACATGGGACTAATTTTATTGTAGCAGCATAGCTGGCTAGTATATGAACATATGTCAATAATTCTGACATTATTGTCACTTCTGTTACTTTTCCTGTTTTATGCTCACAATGCACTAACTATCCACCACAGGAGAAACTACAATTTCTCTTTTTTATAGTKAAAGTATTTATCTTACCTGCAGTCCTCTCCTGGAGAGGCACAAACACACTGAGATCCAACCTGTTTTTGTCCTGGCTTGCAAACATTTCTCATCATAGTTTGCTTATCTGAAACAAAAAAGTAAGAGTTGTTATAATGAGTAAGGAATTGACCATAATTATCTTAGTAAATAAAACCTAAAATAGATTATTTTCAATTTGTTCCAATTTTCTGTCTTCAAAAGCCCCCATGGATTCCACAAGGATGTGGTAGTCTCTGCAAGACACTGGAAAAGCCTGTACAAGATGAAGCTTCTACCACATCTCCTACTTTGTTTTCATAAAGCCTTGTTAATACAACTTCTTTAAAAATATATTCACAACTGTGCAGCCAGCATATCGTACCATACAACAGGTCCCAAAAACATGAACTTAATGCAAAAGTTGGTGGTTGAYTTTATATGGCACTGTGGTAAGTGTAAAGTAAAATCAAAATTAATGATCAGCTGATCTGTCTTAAAATCAGTCATTTGCTTCCCAGCTCTACCTAGGTAAAGTAAATGCAACATGATCATGTTGTGAATCCCATCAGTAGAGCAAAAATAGCAGGAATTAGTTAACAGGAATACTAACCTTTTTCACATGTAATAGATCTTGAAATAGACGGTGACCAGGACAGATCTTCTCCACAAGTATACTCGGTTTGACCAGTGATTATATACCCAGATTGGCAGCTTAACTTAATAGTTTCACCAATATTGTACTGTTGTTTGAATGGGGAAATCAGGACATTGTAAGAGGCTAGTGGCCTTAGGCATACTGAAGCTGCAATAAATAAGAAAAAAAAAACCACATTGTTTTCATGGTGCACGAATATTTACAGCAAGTTGTAATGCTTGTTGAAGAGCAAAATAGTCATGATAATACTGAACACCACTGACTGACATTTAAAACTAATAAATATTTATCATAATTAAGTCTAGAAATTTTCAATGTACTGTCATATAAATGATAACATTCTATCAATAATTAAATAATTACTTGTTTTTAATGTATGCTACTATGAGTAATTTTAAAGTATGTTAAATTAATGACAGGCAATCACAGTATATTTTTAAGCGGTTTTGTAATGAAGCAATTAACAAAGCAATTAAAGTGAATGGCAACAGAAACCTCAAACATGTTCAAGCAATTTACGATAAAATTAATATTCACATGGAGTTCTAGCAAACTATTGGAGCCTCTCCTATGTGAAAACCCATGTCAATTCTGATCCTTGATTTTAATTGGACTATAAATACATCAGGATATTAATCTGTTGTGTAAATTTTCAAAGCAATCTAGATAGGTTGGAGATATGTCTTCCACCTAATATAGAAAAGTGAGAGCCAGACCTCTCTAAGAACAATTTCTTCAGAATAACTGTCATGCACTTAGAGATCACCTTGATAAGTTTGGAAACAAAATATGATTCCTTTTGAAGGAGGAGAACTAAACTGGGAGATTAGATTAAATCCATCTCAGTTTTCTACAGCATTGAACATGGCAATGTCCTTACAGTATGTGTAATAACTTCACTCCTGGAAGGGGAAACTGAACTAAAAGAAAAGTATTAGGCCCATATTTTATTCTACTTTACTATTTTTATTCCTTTTTTGGTTTACTGCTGAACCAAACTGTTTTTCTACTTCTTACGTTCACATTCAATATGTTGCTGTGTCCACGTTTGATCTGGCAGGCACCTAAGGAACTGATAACCAGTGAGGACATGACCACTCATGCAGGCAATTTCAGCTTCCTCCCCCACGTCATACTGGTTCTTTTCATTCTACAGAAAATAAAAATAAATAAACCTGTGGTAAGAGTACATCACATTCAGAATGATTTTAAAGGAGAAAATGATTGAATATAATGAAAAATAAAATTTCAATCAATGYAGTGAAAAATTTAATACAATAATATCTTAGATTTAGAGACATTTTTACTGAATATTAACAYGAAACATGGGTTTCTACTTATCTAAAAAGACATTTCCACTTAGTAGATGGAAATGATACATCTAGAATAGACCTAAAATTTCCATCTCTTCAACTCTCCTACACACTTTTCTTCCATATCACTCACCCATTTTTGATGCTCACCCTGATAAAGCCATTTTCTGGTGGGTCTGGTCTGATGCATCCAGACTTAGGTTCACCAATCAAGATTTCATCTTCTCTCCTTGCTTCATCATCATTTATACAAGGAGCCCCTCTGAAAAGCAGGCGTTTTCTCTTAAGAATATACATTACACTTCGACAAGAGTAGAGATTTAGAAGCTTAGTATAGTAAGCTAAGCTATTTCCATGTGTAACATGCTCTAGGTGTGTGTGTTTAAGCAAGGGGGTTGGACTAGATGATCTCTAGAGGTCCCTTCCAACCTCAAACATTCTATGATTCTGTAAAGATGAGAATTTTCTGTCAACTTCAAAAAATAGCTAAGACACACACACACAAAAAATCTTAAAAATATTAAATTCTATTAAGGAAGATGGAAAAGGTCAGAAGTAGCAAGTGTTGGTATGAGACTGAAAAAAAGTGATAGAAAAAGTGATAGCTAGAAAAATTATGTAGAGCCACAATTTTCTTGACACGCCTTATGAAGAATTTTCACATTAGTTTAGGAAAAGAAAAGGTTATGAAGAACTTCAAATAGAGGGATCGTCTAAGCAGTGGCAGTGCCCAAGTGCTTTTATCAGTACTGAGGGTCCGCAATTTTGTCTGGATTTTAAGGAACATAGTCAAAATCCTACTGTTGCTGTCAAGCAATGGTTAAAGGTGGCCAATTTCTATGAATGAGAAACTGTAGAGCCTGTGACAATCAAGAAAGAAGGACCACAGACTCCACTGTTGTTCAGACACTCCTGAAATCAATCTCCACTGGACATTATAGCAGAGATGATGAAAAATCTGTCTCACCAACTTCTGTTCTCAGTTTTAACAGAAAAACTTAACCTGTATAAAGATGTGCTCTCAAAAACACAAGAAACAAAGACCAATTTGAAGTTGGAGTTGTGATTTCAAGCTGAAAACATAAGACTTTGGTACAAATCTATTCAAAGCAGGAATATGAAAGGCTGGATAGTTTCTGTGAAATTCTCTGAGGCTTTCAATTCAAACCAAAATCTTAAAGAGGGCAGGATATTAAATTCTGTAACTTAAGAAAAAATAGGGGGGGGGGGGATTGTGAAATCCCATGAAGTGCAAGAGTTTTTTAGGATGTGGAGTGTAATATCCATAGACATACATCAGAACAGAATTATGTATTTTCTAGGAATAAACTTGAACTAACTTGGCAAAGATTTTCAAAAACTTCCTTCTCTCAGTCCCATGACAAAGGTTCAGACAGGAGACTTCTCTCTGTCTTCTCCTTCATGGTCACAAAGTCTCTAGAGAGCATTTTGACTCTATCCCATAGTCATGGAGATCTTGGCATCTACTGTCTCCTTACCTSTCTGCGAACACAGAGATGTAACAGTCCTCCTCCTCTTCCTGTTCACCCTCGCAGGGCTTCCCTCCGTTCATAGGGGCAGGGTTATTGCACTTTCGGGTCCTTCTTTTCTTGAAGGAAGCACCACATGAACTCCACTCAGACCAGCACCCCCAGCGGCCATCCACAGCAACTGGAAGTAACATAAGAAACTCCTTTTTTCAGTAAATCTGCACTTCTCATTGTAATTTTCTTGTTCCACATACACGTGGAGCAGGTGGGAAATAAACAACAACAGCTTACAGGGATTTTGAAGAAATGCAACTGTTAAGGGAGTAGAATGAATCCAGAGTGTTAAGTTTTTCAAAGAGATGGTCAGACAAATTCAAATTGCTTTAGCAGGGCCCAAATATGCCTTTCTTTTCAGTTTCAGCTGTAAGCTACATTGAGACCCAGAAGCAGCCTATTTTCTACTTCTGTTGCAGGCATGATGTTCTCAATTTTCACTATGCTGTCAGGCATTTTTGATAACTTACAAAGCACTGTGCTATCAAATTAAATCTCGGAGCTCTAGCACCAAGTCTAAAACCCAAATCTACTTCCCATGCAAACTAAATTAAAATACAACTGTCTTTCTCATCCCTGAGGTCCTTTTTCTGTGATACCAGGAAGCATTATATAAGAATTTATATTTTTACACACTATTTCTTCTTTTCAGGCAATGCAGTTTTTGCACTCTACTTTTGTATCTTCAGTTATTTATTTCAAAATATTTTTTTTAATCRGACAGAAAATGTGGCTTTTATTTTCCAAAATCATTTTCCCTTCCTTCTCCTTTTGATCTGCTGTTTTCCATAGGTAGGTATTATTGTGAATTTCATTTGAAAACTGCAGTTGCAATTGCAAGTGTTCTTTAAATTATTCAGAACACTGATTATATGCCTAAGACATACTAAACYAAGTTTTCCTTCCACCTCATGATCAACAATTCTATAGCCATTAACTATTTTGTATTGCCATAATAATTCATAGTGAAAAAACAAGACATGACAACCTCAATTATCTTTGATCTCAGATCCATCCTCATTGATTTCTTTCTTTTTAACTAATGAAACTTTTATCGTATCTTATAAATCCTTTTTACAAGTTAACACTATTTCTGCCTTTATCCCTATGCTTTCTGACTAACACCTTTGGACAAGAGGTGACACATTTTTCCTAAGGGTAGAACAGAGTTATCTTTGATCGCCGAAATTGCTGGGGGATATTCAGTAGAAGATATGACATGGATATAACATATCTTGTGTGCTTTGGAAGTCATTATAGGAACACAAAAATGCCATGTTAAGTTAGATAAATAGTAGATCCATTCTGCTGTCAAAGGTGGTAACTATAAGGATACCTAGGGAGGATTATAAGAACAAGTAGGYCATGCAGCAAGGTTTCCAGAGAGAGCCAGAGCCTCCAAGAGCCAGAGACCTCCTGGGCCTTACATAGTGACCTTGTTTTTAGTAGCCCTTGACAAACTTCTCTGTTGATGTGTCCATTTGATCTGTGAGACCACACACACCTTAAATGTGCACAATATTCTGTAGAGAGGAATTTCACAGTGTAACGACACTGCGTGAAAAACTCTGTCATCTCATTTGTTTTGAACTTGCCATCTTTGTATTCTTGAAAGCTTTGTATTCTTACACTGAGAGATGCTGAAAAATAAGTCCCTATTTGCCAATCATAATTTTAAACAGTTTCACCRTGCCTTACCTCTGTGTTTTTTTCTTTTAAAAAAAACACAAGTCAGAAGAGTTCAAGTTTAAATATAGTGCTGCAAAACTAGTTTTGTTATGCAAAAGAAGATTAGGATTAGTAAAAATAATGATGAAGGTGTTCATTAAAGGGAAGATTAAAACTGACTGTGTCGAAAGGAATTCACTGAGGTGTGGGTGGGTTATTAATCAGCACCACAGAGATTAAGAAAAAAATAAATTTACCTAGTAAGATACATGAAAAATGGAAAAGTATTATATTGCCCAAGTTGAAAGCTGATCAATTCCTTTTGCTCTATCAAACCAAGGCTATAGCTTCTCCTAGAACTCCGTGGAGCTGTGACCTTCTGTATGTGCCCTAGGCTGCACCACCCCAGGGGCTTGAGTCTYTGCTCTGTCCACAAAGCTGAGGCAGATCCCAAGGAAACAGCGAAGCTGTGAGAAAGAGCTGTGAGGAAGCCAGTAGAGTAGAAAGGCCTACAGGGGCAGATAACATTACAGAAAAAGTAGGTTTGCTGAAACAGGTTTGTTAGCAGCTTGAGGGTTGGGGAGGAAGAGGGGAGGAGAAAAACAAACAAACAAACAAACACAGACAACCAAAACAAAGGCATAAAATCYTGACAGAAAAAAAGAAATAGGGAGTTAGAATTTGTTAAGACAGCACCACTATCAAGAGCTTGTACCCAGAAGCAGCTGAAGCCAGCCCTTCCCCTCAGGCCTGCCTGATGCTGCCTGGCCAGCAAAGGCTTCCTGGGGGGTTTGAGAGGAAAGAGGAGAGAAGAAGAAAAAAAAAAAAAAAAAAAAAAAAAAAAAAGAGGCACGCACAAACTATTGCTTATTTTAATATCTGGTTGGACTGGATAACTCCCAATCATCCAATCAATAACAGTTTGAGTTTTGCTTATTCTACCAGTCTGTGCACAATGAAAGGTGCATGATCAAAGTGACACAAGAGCAGCAGCAAGAGGCTGTGTTTTAGTACCAACCCTTTGTTTAACATTATCAGGAGGTCTGAGCTCCAGAAATAAGAGTTTGGTATTAAAGCCTACCAATGACTCAGAGTTTGCAAAATCAGGGATACCACTGTAGAATATCCAGTGAAACAGAGACCTGGTGTAATAGAAAGGATTGAAACTCAATAGTTCAAAACGCAGTACTAAGTGCTGCTACATTGAGAATATTATTTTTTGACACATCTTGGAAATTTATGTTTTGGAAATAACAAGGCAGAGAAAGGCTCATGTATTGGTTAATTACAGAAAACAATTGTATAAAGGGAAACAGAATGATTATGACCTACATTTGAGACATTTGTTCTAAAGAAAAACAGATAATTTAGTTTTCAAACACTCTAGAAAAGCAATACTTGTGAGCTTCTCCGCAGCAGCCGACTTCAGGCACAGCCCACCACCCGCTCTGCATCAGAAGCGCCCTATTTACATGGTGACAGTGCTCCCCAAGCACCTGAGCTGTAGTCCGGGGTTCTCATCTCGCAGTTTTTGCCGTAGGTGCCGGCAGGGCACAGGCAGAGGCACTCGGTCCCCGAGAGCACGGGCCGCCCGTTGTTGGGGCACGGGGCGCAGCGGCAGGGGTCGAACCTGCCCGCGTATTCCTGCAGGGCTCTCCGGAGGTTGCGGCGTCTGGTCACTGCACAGGGCACGTTCTTCACCAAATCCACGATGGGCGACAGCTGCAAGAGAAGCACCCGGTAAAGTTACTCACGTAGCAGCAGTCTGCCATGGAGGGCCACGAGACTCCAGTTAGGCCAGTTTTAAAGGCACTAGAACACACACGTAAGTTGTATCGTAAATAAGTCAGGAAAATTGCCATGTGGAAAGTCAGATATGCTTTAAAGGAGCTCGACATCTGTCTATGTCTAGATTGTTCTATTTATACAATTTCTTTTGCTTAGAATTCTGCAAGCTAGGGGCAAAACTCAACAAGGGAATATTGCACCTAAAAATCTGGGACATCAAGCAGGGCATGCTTACACCCCATCACATATGCTTATACCCCATTTGTGAGGACACGCTGCACTGCCTCATCTACATCAGCAGCTGCAGAGGAGGGGGATCACAGCATGTCGCTGTGGGGCAGGTTTTTGCCGTTTGCTCTTTGCTGCTGTCACTGAGCTCCTGCAGAGTCAGCCCGGGGCYGGGCAGCCGAGAGCATTCGCGTCAGCGCTGGCACATACTGCAATAAACATTCAGGGAGCAACGCTATAGATTTGCARTTTCATTTCAGTTAGATTTGTGCCAAACCTTGTAAAGTAGGCTTGACAAGGGAAGTGTTCAGAAAAACAAMAAAAAAAAACCCCACAACACACACACGTTCTTGTTTTCTGTGCAATTTTTTACTGCAAAGTAGTCAGCCCTCGCCCATACCTGAGCTCCTGTTTTAATAGAGCCAGAATAGTTCACTTACATTGATGCAAACTTGGTGTGAGCTGAGATACATAAAATGTAATTATAATAACTATTTTGCATGCTGTTTTATATTGTGCATGCATATTTGTAATTCATATTATCAGATTCAGCACCATCCTGATTCAAAAGACAGAAAACATCCAAATAGTTCACTAGAAAGCAGCTGTTGAGTGCTCTACTATCTCAATATTTTTTGCTATTCTCTTACCTCAAAGTCAACTACCACAGGATTGTCCTTTGTTGATTCCAGCCAGTTTGAGAAGACAGTGTGGTCTGGAAAAGCACCCTTTTTCTCCCAGGCAAGAGCYGCAGCATATTCTGATCTTCCTCCTTTTACCAGAGACATCGATCGCTCAGCTGACTCCAGAATGGAGCCTGAAAAAGGATTTCATTGAAGAATTGCCAAACAGAGAAAGGCCTCCAACACACACACTGAATTTCACAATGAATCTAAAAAAATATGAAAATTTAAAGGATATATTAAGCTTAATTCCATAAAATTAAATAAAATAAAATCTGGAGCACAAGAAGTTCCGTCTCCAGGTGAGGAGGAACTTCTTTACTGTTAGGGTGACAGAGCAGTGGAACAGGCTGCCCAGGGAGGTTGTGGAGTCTCCTACTCTGGAGGTCTTCAAAACCCACCTGGATGCCACCCTGTGCCACATGCTCTAGGTGTGCCTGCTTGAGCAGGAAGGTTGGACTAGATGATCTCTAGAGGTCCCTTCCAAACTTAAATATTCTGTGATTCTGTGAAAATTAACTTCTGAAGAACAGAGCCTAAAATCAATTTAGCAGTCTGTCACAGTCTTCCTCAGAGGAAGGCACAACACCTCAGCCACAGCAATACTCAGTTCTACACTTGGAACATCTGAAAGACGCAAGGCATGTAACAGACTCCATCAGAAGGATGCTCCACAAGACAGGAATTTTGGCCCCATCTTAAACACCTGGGTAACTGGGATTGATCATAAAATGAGTGTTAAACATAGGTGATCAAATCCCTGTTTCTGTTGATTTACAATATATGATTTGTGCCATCCTTGACGAAAAATAGCCTCCTGCAGCTCATGAGACCCATTTTTAGTCATTGCCACGGAGTCTGTTGCACCCGGGCTCCTGCTTGGCTCAGGGAAGGAGGCAGGGGACAAGCAGGGCTGGCTTACCAATGCCAGACCCTGTCCATCCCTGCACCATCCTTGGCGAGCAGCGGGGCTCGGTTGCGTCGCTTGCTGCAGGCTGTGCCCATCTCCCTCCTCCAGCGTGGGCTGCCCCGGAGCAGAGGCCCGGGGAGGCAATGGACAGTTCGAGGTGCCGTTGGACACAGCAACACTGTGGATCCCCTCAGACCTGAGGCTTTCCATCCACAAGCAGAGGGGGGATCTCCAGAGCAGAGGAAAAGTACTCCCAGAGTGTAATTTCTTTTGCAAGGGGGAAGATGTTTCTGATGCTTATATGGAGAGAAATACTAAAATAGTGCCTCTCTGCCCCAAAATCGATGGAAGATGCACCTTTACTTTATCAAAAGGAGAATTTTACCCCAGGCACCTAGCTGAGGGAAAGGTATCTCTCAGAGACCCACAACCGAGAGTGGGTCTCATTCTTGCCACGGTCACCTTCGTGTTTCACAGTCATCCTGTTTGTAGTGCATCTCGTACTGACTTTCTTTCTCTTTACGAACAGGATACGCTTTGTGGTTTCTGTTCGGACACACTCTGTTGATTCATCCACTGTCAAACCTAGAAATACCACAAAGCAACAGCTGAATCACTATAAACTTGTTATGAGATGGCACCAAGCCCTCAGGCTCCCCGCAGCAACACAAGCCATTGCAAATCTCACTGCACCTTTATTTTCTTTCTGACCTCTGCAACGAGTTAATACCAAACTGTGCCTTGCCTTGCAGCAAGGGACTTGGGAAAAGGCTGCTCCACCCTCCCAGATGGTAAAGATGGATCTTAGCATATCAACTTTCAAAAAAGAAAAAAGAAGCAATATAAAGTAATATGTATAGTAGATATGTTGTGTATATAAAGATACATAAAAATTCCAGAAATATTGATATATTTATATACTAAATGCTCTCTCTATATGCATATATATACAGATATATGCATATAAAAAAGACCTGATATAAACATACACACTTTTAATGTCAGAATCATTCCTGCAGCATCGACACCAACTGGTCTAAGAAAAGACTTCACTGCTGCAGGCTTCCACTTTCTTAGGTGTAAACAGCATTAGACAGCCCTGATCACCAACCCCTTCATGCACCCTCTCAGACCCAAACAACTGACAGTGACAGCATTAAGAACCACTGCATTTAACCTCAGATTTCCACTTTTGCAGTATTTGCCCTTCATTTTTGACAGTCTGGCTGTCATGGATTTCGTCTCAGAGTCATTTCTAACCATGCCAACAGCTTTAATGACTGTAGCCCAGAAGGCACCACTTAAACCTCTTATCAGGCTTCAGTCCTGCTGTGGCATTTGTTTGACTGGAATATCTTCATTTAGTCTTAGTCTGAAGATATTAAGAAGTCTCCCTAAATATTTTCCACTAGAGTACATTTGCTTCCCAACCTTGGCATTTCCCTTGATCTCCCAGCATCATCCAGCCACTGACCAGGAGCTCTGCCTGGCTCTCCTGAGCCCCAGCAGCATCYACACTGAATTTCCAGTGCTATCCTACCCTTCTTAGGCAGCAGGACACAGACCTCTAGTCTGGTTATACTTGTTCTTCTGTGCCACTTTCCCCACCTCTCCACCAAGGCAGTAACACATCTCACAAGAACTCCACACCAGCACCATAATCCTCCAGTTTGCCACTATTCACCAAGGACACTCCAGGACTTTTGAAAATAAAACAGCTTGGTACAAAAATTTATTCTTGGTAGCTTTGGGAAGTGGAGTAATTTTTTTTTTTTTTTTTTTTTTAAAGTTTGGAGAACTTACTGCATGTTATGAGGCCTGGAAATAGATGGATTTTGTCTTAATAAAAGTCTAGGGAAAGGCACTAAGTGAACCTCTTACTGAAGGTTACATACCTGAGTTTTTGAGCTCCTCTGAGCTGTACTGGTAAAGAATGTCGTAGGAACCACCTATTCTCCCCGAGGTGTAATAATGAGTGCCAAAGTCATCAAATATTCTGCTGTATAAAGCATAGTTGTACTCCAGGGGCAGGTGATTAAGTGCTTTTAGGAAGACATCTGAAAGTTGCAGGTTTGACTGTTTCATTGTGAAGTTTGCAACAGAAATAACTTTATGGACTCGAATAAAGTTGGAATTCTGGAGATTTAAAAAAAAAAAAAAGCAATTGGGGGAGCATTTTCATAGGTAGTTAACTGCAGAAAGAAGAGGGTCTGAGAGTAGGATCTGAGCCAAACTGTAAGAACTAGTAACCTCGTACACTGCTTTAGCCATGAGTCAACTAGCACAAACTAGGCCTTGAGTGAACAAGAGCCCTGTTAGTTTTTATAGGATAATGCTCCATTACCTTGCAGGAGAATGTAAGATTGAGACAAAAATTAAGACTTCATAAACACTGAACAGAGAGTAAAATAAATTCTTGCTGCAAGAAATGCAGTAGCAATAAGACAAAAAGCCAGGAGAAAGGGGTTCAGCATAGAAGTGTAGTCATCAGTGGGCTGTTYGCCAGGAGCCAGGAGTTTGACTGCTAGCTCACTGTCATCAAGTCTCACAACTTAGCAATATGCTAAAATTAAAACTGCAGGAAAGATTTTATTCAGTTTACATATCAGGCCTTTTCAGGACATTTCAGGAGAGAGAGGAAATGGAAAAAGTCTAGGAGTAAGGTTCAGATTGGGTCACCAGGCTGCTATGTTTTTGGCTATTTACAGAGCGCATCCGGGATTTCATGAGAACAATGCTCAAAACACACATAAATCCATACATATTTCTTGTGATGTGATCATCAGTATCAAGAGCAGCGTTCTCTGAAATGAGCAGATGGAAACTGAAAAGCAAAAATTGGAGGTAACATTTAATTACCTTTTCATATGAGGCTTCAATGGCTTTCTTGAAGSAGGAAGTTGATGTGACTTTAATACGTTTCTTTTTTGAGTATAAAATCGGAATTCCAGAAGTTATTTTGCCATGATAAGTAGATGAAGAACTTCTAGCATCACTATCACTCAGAGGAGTTAAATCATTGTAGAATTCTGATGCTACATCATCCTCTTCATCTATTACCTGCAGATTCGAGAAAACAAAGTGTGTTTGCCCAAATAATCCAAATCACACCCATCTGTCTTGATTTTTTTTTTCCTAGGAGACACCTGCCTGAAAAGTTGAGACATGACATGTTTGGAACATATGCTAAGAAGTCATTCTTAATGCAAAAGATGAATTTTTGACACGCTAAAGTGTTCCAGTCCCACAGCTTCTATATTGTGTGGCATGAAGCTTGGAGTTTTCTCTTCTTTCTTACCAATTCCCCTGTTAAAGGGATGAAAAGGTTTTATCCAGAGTGGAGTCTTAAGCCATGCTTGCATTGTGAGYACACATACTGCATGAAGAACTAGAGATAGGTGGAGAAAAAGAGGGAGTCAGTAAGCCAGCCTGATACCCTTGGTAAGCCTCAGTGCAAAAGTGGTTGCACACTTCATGAGCATCCGGACAACTCCACCATCAACTCAGAATTAACTCAATTTGGGCAAATTCCCACTAAAGAAATACCAGAGAAGACAACTTTATATTTTAAATGATAGAGTTAAGTTCCTAAAAGTATCTGAGACACAAACTTTTCTGCAGACTAAAATCAAGAACCTAAACATCACAGCTTTGGAGAGACTAAGGCAAACTGAAGTATTTCTGACATTAAATATTTCTGAGGATGGTAATTTTTGAATCTCAGATACAGCTTTGGAGAGACTAAGGCAAATTGAAGTATTTCTGACATTAAATATTTCTGAGGATGGTAATTTTTGAATCTCAGATACCAAACCTACAGGTTACAAACAAATCAATTCATATGTTCTCTGGGAACTACAATGTGCCCTTCTGTTGCTCTTTCTAAATTCATACTAAATAGGTCACAGAGACACAGGGCAGCAGCAGAGATGCCCACATCCRCTGCCTTGATTCCAGTATATTTGCAGTGAGTAAATATGAACGGGGAAGATATAAATAGAGTCACCAAGTCCAGTTCAATTTGCCCCATTTCTAGATACTATTGGAAATATATTCAGGTCTCACAAGGTTGAGAAGTCTTGTCCTAAAACACTTATCATTGCTTAAGAGTTGTGCACATAACTTGGACTGAATATGACAAGAGGTTTCCAGCTAAAAGTCCTCACTTGAAAGTACCTGAAAGCTGACAGCCTCCAAATTTGCAGGCACACGATACAATATCCTTGTGTCATTGCGCTTCACTGTTGTGCATTGTCCTCCATTGAATGAGTTGCCAAGAACTTCCCCTCGAMTCTCTCCTGCCAGAACGTGAAATCTAAGAGAAAAGGAACATTCAGAGACCAAAAGATACCAGAAAGAAATACAGACTTGGATTATTTAAGTGCTGTGTTACTGCATTAGAGATACAGCAAGTTTGAGTCAACGAAGTATTCAAGTATTAAGGCAAAGCTCTCCATTTGAAAACATCTACTCTATGAAATCCTCTAATCCATTTGCCAAAAACAAACAAAACAAAACAAAAAAAATCACCAAAAACACCCCCACATATCCCAGCTGTAGTAGTAAAATCTGTTTACTWCCATCACTAGCATTCAGACAGCATAAGATTCTCTATTCATTTTATTTAAGCAGAGACATGTGAAAAGTGGCTTGGGAAAGAGTGGCTCTTCAGATCATGAATTATGTGTTCAGAGTGCAATGAAGCCATTCAAAAACATGCAAGACCACATAGAGCTGACATCGTATGTTAAACTGCTTAAAGTAGCATTCTGGAAGAGATGGTAGTTGATATTAAGATGTTTAAAAAAAAAATCACAGATCATGCACAGTTTAGCATCTTTAGATGAGCATCAACCACATTTTTGAAGGTCTTGGACTTAACTGAACCAACAGTTGCTGATATGTGAGGTACTGGGTGCTGTGAGGGCAGTAAAGGTGCTCTGCACACAAGCTGCAGCAGCTCTCCAACATTTCTAGTTTTTGTATCTAGTACAGCAAGCAGTATAGAAAGGAGGCCGAGTCTGAAGGTGGAGTGGGCAAGTTCTAGCCTGATTGTGTTCTTATAATCTCTTGTTAATTCTAATTTGAGAGATTATCCATTTTAATGGGATAATCCYCATGTAAGTATGGGAAAGTATGTTATTTATGCAAGTTAGTAAGATAAAATTTCATGATATCTATGAAAAAATGCAAACAGAGCTGACTTACCCACTGCCTATTAAATGCACGCTTGGAATGCTCTGATAATTTCTGTTGCAAACGGTCTTTTTCTTCCCACAATTTCTTTCATCTGAATTGTCCCCACAGTCATTTTCTCCATTACATACCAGCTTTTTTGCAATGCAACGACCTGCAGAGAAACAGCAGCAAGGAGCTTTATGGAAAAACTCACTGWCTGAATAAAGGGGAAAAAAAAGTCAGTCTCTTCTTCTAGTAAAGGTGAATTTGTCTGAGTAAACAGGAAAGCAAAATCCTGCCTTGACTGTTCTAATAGGAAAGAGTTTTGTCATGTCTACTTATTTGCCCTGCCTTGAAGCTGTAATGACTTCAGACTTTATCAAACAGGTAAGGCTATTTTTCAATTAATSAAGAGTATTTAATTAAGGACAAAGAAGGATTTCCCCTAAGAAGGCTTACAAATTTAACAGAAACAGTGCCAGTTTAAACTTAGACTGAAATCCAAGCCCAAGAAACTTTCTCTCTGCCCCTTTCTCTCAGGATTAGGCATGAGATATACAAGATCCAGATAACTTGAGCCTCAATGAACAAACACTATCTTTAATCTTTTGATTAACTAATAATGCAGAAATTATGTATTAAAGATTCGCATTACCGCTTTCACACTGGAATTTATTCTTGCAATTGACTTCCACTATGTTGCAGAGTTTAGTTGGGAAGCACGGCCGGGAATCCACCAGTGGCTCTGTGCAGGCCTGACCCCCAAACTGTGATGGGTGAAGGAGTGACCGGACACGAAACTGAGCGGGAGGAGAAAACAGGGTTACGTGTGTGTATTTTGTAGCTAGGAAGTCTTAGTGGTGCCTGAGGCAAAGTCGTAATGCTTCAGTGCTGCTGAAGAGATGTTGCAACCATAGACCTGATGKAAGTCATCACTTATTTGTGTCCTTAAGCCCTATCATGCCTCCATCCCAGGTAGAGGAAGGCAGGGAACSAAAAATATAACCTCTACATCTTCTTCTTAAAGCACAGAGTAGGAAATATTTGAACAGACTATGTTAAATTTTTCTTAATCACCACTAGCAAAATAGAAATATTATGACAAGTAACATGTATTTCCATATCTAATTCAGCTGGCCTGGCTCCCACTGCTTCACTGGCTCCCCATCCATGTGGAGTCCTCATTTGAGGGGCACTAGGTGATGGGACAAGGCCAAAAAAAAAAAAAAAAAATCTGAAAAAATTTGTCTTTAAAAATCTGGGAGCAAAATCTGGAACTCTCTCCTCCTTCTGTCCCAGTCTCAGGACCCTTCAAAGAATAAAATGAAGTTGAAGACTGCTGCACAACACACCTCAGAATTTTCGCCCTAGTTCAAGGTCTTACCAGTGAAATCTGTCTTCATGAAGCTGAACTGCTCCTTCTCTAAGGAGAATTTTTTCTCCACATAACAGTTTCCCTGCAGATGGACCCTAAATAAAAAAATCAAAGTGTGGACTCTGAGTAGCAATTAAGTGTAGGTCAAGGAGAAACACAAGACCATCTGTGAACTCTTGGACTCTAGACTGCATCTCCTTGTACTCCATTTGAGCTCCTTGTCACATATAATACATAATCTGCGCAGAGCTTCATCTCCTGCCATTCATGAGGAGCTCGCTTACAGTGATCTTCAAGTTTTTCTTGGATGTCCTCTGTTCTCATGACTGTTAGTATTTACAAGGATCACAAGCAACAGTTTGGAGGGAAAATGGACTGCAAGATACACAAACACTTCCTTTGCTTGAAAAAACAAACACACTGCATCAATATTTAAAACTAATAAAATGGAAAAATGTCTTATATACAAATGACCAGATAAAAAAAGGTCTCTCAAATGAGCAGCTATTAAGTACAAAGAATTCAGCTCAGATAAGCCCTTTTCAGCTCTTGTAGTTTACTTACAATCTTCTGCTGTCTTTCTCCACTCTGCTCTTATYGTGTTCTCCATCCCATTTGTAGAACAGGAGCCTACAGAGCAGTTAACATATCTTACATCTAGAACTAACTGCTTGTTCATGGACTTCTACACTGTGCTGCATAGGCAGAATCACAAAGAAAGAAGTCTATCATAAGTCTAAAGATATGATACTTAACAGGTAATCACGCATGGATTTATGAAGCTGTATGGATATTCAAAGAGCGCCATAGGCTGTGCCTTCACAGACAGCAGAAGATGATCTCATCAGGCTCACACTAAGACCATACAGGCATGTAACCACTATAGACAACCTGCATTCCGGTAGCCTGCAATCTCCTATCTGCCAGCTATTCATTTCATTAGGTGGAACCAACTTGCAACTGCTCTTTCAGCTCTCTGCCAGATACAGTATCCAGGTGGTAAAGGCATTATGCACCAAAAGTGCCATCAACAGACCCCCTAGCCATTCCCACAATAACTCTACTGTCAAGCAGTAGACACAAGCCCAGAAGGAGAAAGCATCATCCAAAAACTATATCTCAAAAGAATTTTATTCCACACATATTAAGTACGTCCACTTGGCTTTTGGGTAGGACACAAAGGATAGGGAAATGGTGTCCTGGATTTCTTCACAGCAGTCTGAAACTGATCCTGAAAATCACGGTAAAATGTAGCCTGAACACTCCTAGCCAGTGCCAATTAAGATTTGCCATTAACTCTTTTCAATGGATGATTTGATCCTATTACTTTTCCTGTCTTCAGGACATATAAAAATGCTACTGATTAGTCATAAAGGTTCTGTGACTTTCTTCTACTTAAACAGACATCCAAACTCTATAGCTTAATTTATCCTCTATGTGGAAAACTCATTTATAATAATGACAGTGTCTCTTTTGAAGTAAGATCTCATAAATGGGTTTACGTTGCTAAATTGCTCTTTTCTGTTCTGATCTCCTTATTTTAACTTGTTCCCTCCAGCTCCTACTGTTATGATAATTTATAACCAATTTCTCTTGTTAACTTAAACTGTCATTTTGCAGATCAATTTCCATAAAGCTGAATGTCTGTAATGGAGGTAACTCTTTAGCATCATTTCTTGCACTCATATAACAAATTTTCAACCTACTTGCTTTTTAACACATGGGTCACATTCTGACCAAGGGCCAAAGTCTCCAAGCCGACAGTTGATAGGACATGTTTGCTGATTACATGCACGAGATTCCTCCTTTGTGCATAGCTGATCACAGAAGTTTTGCATGTAATATTCATCCGTTCTTATTTGCCTAAAATGATAATTGAAAAAGTTATCCTAGAATAGGAGCATAGACCGATTGTAGATAGATGTTCTCTAACTATGAGTAAAGGCTAAAGATAATGATTTGAAACCAATCAAAAAAATCTTACAGTAATAATAGACAGCTATGGAATGCTGACTGAAAGAAAAAGTCCATGGATAGGAAACTTTTTGATCCATCTCACTTTGAATAGCCCAAAGATGGCCACAGAAGGAGAGCCAAGACAGAAGGAGGGAAATTCTGGCCRCTTAGAATATACCAGTGAGTTGCATTTAGTTTGGTGAAGTTAAACATTCTGTAATTGTTGAAAATTAATCCTACAGGGAGGAGGTTTCTGTGAGCTTGCTGTGCCAAGGCTTMCCCTTCCCATGACATTGCTCTGCATTGGACAGACCTCCTAGAAAGCGACTCTGACACCCAGCCCAACCCCACCACCATTTGCTCACGTGGATTAACTGCTGGTAAGGCCAAATTGAGATGAGGTTGTTCTCCCCTCACTAKGTACACTGAAATAGATTCATCTGGAGACACAGCAATATACTACACACATACCCTTGAAATTTTAAGTCTTACCATTAAAAAGAAAAAAATCTATTCACCTGTTAAACATATGGATATGGCAATTTTCTAATTTTCTTTTTCAATATATTGTGGAAACAATTGCTTTAGAGACAGTTGCTCTTCCCCAAAAGTGATATTTTCTCAGAAGACAATTATAAATATCAAAACAAAAATAGAGAGCTAATTTGGCCCTACCTGTGCCTTGTCTGTGTACCATAATTGCAGGTTTGTGAACAGCTGGACCATGGCCCCCATGGATAATGCTCACAGTAGCATCCCTGGCTGCTCTCAATCACCATGCCCAGCAGGATGAAGTGCATTAAAATAGTCTTGTCTATACTGAAGATTTTCATCTAYAGCAAATGGACAGGTAATACAAAAGCACTCAGAACTGGAGCACTAACAATTGTGCCAATGTTAAAGCAATACAACTTTTTTGATTTTGAAACTGTGTAAATCTGATTCACCAGGTCAATCAATAGGAGATTCACTAATCAATCAATATATAATCAACACCAATGGTATAATCAGCACCAAAAGACTGGTAAACAATGCAGATAAATGAACTACCTTACCAATGAATCAAGAAGAGAAGACATATTATATCTTCTTTCTTACCTCAAGTTCCTGGTTGCAACAATGCCCACTGAGAAAATAAACCTTAMAGAATTCTTCCTCTTAGTTTAATTCCTTCATTGAACATAAAMAAAAAAATTCATTTGTTGGCATATCTTCAACCAATGAGTACCTGAAGTACATTGCACTAAAAATGCTTCTCAAAAAAATTCAACTCATAATAGATATGAATTGGACCTTTCAAAGAAAAAAGTATATCACACACTTGATATCTGTACGACTTGAAGACAAGAATAAAAAAGTGCCTTAGCAGCTTACTGTAAAACAGTTGATTACAAAGTCAAGTTGGTAGACTGGTGTGATCTCGGTGCAGTTTGTAGCAGCCTCTTAAAAGTCTGGCAGGTTTTATTCGATTTGGTTATCCATTAATGAAAGGCAGACCTGGTCTGATAAAAGAAATGTTCAGGAATACAACCAGAGAGATCTTCAGGCACAGACCTTTTCTAGCTAATCGTGCTAGAATGTCTCTCCAAAAAAATGCAGACATGGAAATACGCCATTCCTCCAACATGAGGAGGCAGAAAAAATACATATATATCTGCACTGCTGTAGGTGACCTTGCACTACCCAATGGAGCTGCAGATTCACTCTGTTCTTAGCGTGAAGGCAGAAGGGTGAAGCTGCATTGAGATGGAGCATTTTCAAAAGCTTTGTAAAGATTCCTAGGAAATAGCACAGGAGACAGTGTTAAAGCCTGGGTAAAATATCTGTCCATGTTGTATCCTCTTTTAGGAGAGAAATTGAGAAACCCAAATACATTTGATGTTATTTAAAGCTTTGCTTTTCATCTCATTAGCATCAGCTCTGGTTCCCAGGGAAGCTCAGCCTGCAGTGGCATTAGGCCTGCAATGAGAACTGCAGCAAGCCTGTGCCTTGCAATAAGGACATCACCCGACAGCAGAGGGGCAGAGACAAAAGTTAAATGGAAGGTGTGAGAATACACCCATGCAGAGCAGACACAGAAATGAAAAGCAGAAAATTCCCTTAGAAATAATCACAATATYGAGCAGAACTCGAACACCCCAAATACCGTTCTCCTGTCCAGTGTGTCCCATCCAGAGGGCAACAGTGCATCAATCCCCCTCTGCTTCACTCCAGCAAACTGACAGGAACACATCAAGTCCTTGAAACATACTTTCCAATTTGTGGGGACCGAAGGTCATGTACCTCCCTCCTTAAGGAGAAAAACAACTCGGAGCTTCCCAAAGCTCAGTTTTATTTTTCGATTGTCTTTGCAGCCTCTTTTATTCTCGGTGAAAGTGTTGTTGCACAACTTGAGGCCACAATTAGCAAACTGATGCTCTGCCAGCTCCTTATTACACCGTGTACATTTGTCATAAGACATCAAAATAATTGTCACTCTGGCTCTATTGTTACTGCTGGATGGGATTTGTGAAGTTGCATGAAAATTATCTCCTACCTCTCAAAGAGCATCTCCTAGCTCTCAGTGCTTCCTGTTTATTACTGACATCTCCTATAGCACAATGGTCACCCCCTTCCCAGTCCAGCTTCTCCCAATCTTGTTGAAATAAACCCAAGCCATGAATTGCAGGTCAGTGGTTGCTGCAGTCAATTGCTGATAGYTAAACTCTGCCCATTGAGAAACCTTTTTTACACTCTTTCTTAACAGGAAAACAAAGTGCCACTCAAAAAGCTCATAAGTTTTAGAATAATTACCAGAAAATGCGATTTCATAGTCTAAAAGTAGCCTACATGATTCTTCAGTGCAGAACAAGCTGTTAGACAACTGCCATGGTGAGCACTAATAAAAGCATTAGATGGYGACTGATACTAGCAGATTTCAAACCAAAGTTAGGGCTTTAAGAGAGCATGGGTTGCACGTTGCAGCCTTAAATGCAGGTTTATACGAACTTCAGTTCACTCATTTGTCTGAAGCTGATGGGTCACAGCAGCAAATAGCACAGCTTGGGCTAACTTTTAAGCAAAGCTTTAGCACAATGCCAAYATGCACTAAGGAAGTGGCCAGTTCATTAGACAGGCTCAGCAGGGTAATGAAGGGTCTGGATCACAACCCACTGTTGTAGCTTGTAGCAGAAAATATTAGTGAAGAAGAGATTCTCTCAAGCATCACACTCACCTCATGCTGCTGCAGGACTGTTCTCARCAATGTCTTTTTCAATTGCTTGTAAGCTCTGTCTAAAGGATGTGCTTAAAGCAATCTCACCCTCTTCTCATAGAATCATAGAATGGTTAAGGTTGGAAGGGACCTCAGAGGTCATCTAGTCCAACCCCCCTGCTCACGCAGGGTCACCTAGAGCAYGTGGCACAGGGCTGCATCCAAGCGGGTTTTAAAGATCTCCAAAGAAGGAGACTCCACAACCTCTCTGGGCAGCCTGTTCCAGCCTCTTCTGCCCCGGCTAAAGATCTGTGCCTGCAAATCCAAGTACATTCCTTAAGGTAAGATGTGTTAAGGCATCCAAACGGTGATCGATACCCTGATGTTAACAATTCACTTCCCGCTCACTTTCTGGCCTTACAGCAAGGCACTCACAAGGCGTCTTYGTGGCTTCTTCAAAGTATGAGAAATTAAATACATGTAAGATCTGTTTGGAGAAACATACACTTAAAAGTATAAAATAGGTGGTGGTTCGCATGAACAAAGCAACCTTCTGGGACCAAATTTCACATGGAAAAGCATTAACATTAAAAGATATTTCACTGTTGCACTGCAGTCCTGCCTGTTTTCACCCACACGTGACTCTGCCTTACAAAGCCTCTGGTCTGCAGCATTGGTCCASCATTCCCAAGAGGGTGTAGCACTTTCATTGGATTCTAATCATGGGCAACCCTGMAAAGCCTGTGTGTATCATTTTAAAACACATCATTTTACAGCAGTTTTTAAAATTCAGGAGCAGGTGTAACAGTCTATGCACATATCCATCATCTTGGCTTAATTACTTCTATAAGAATCACCTCTATAWGAATCACCTCAGAACAAATGTAACTTTCCTCCATCTCTGCTGCAGTGTCTTAATAAAAGACCCCTTGTGACAGAAAGGGGAAATATTATCTCATAGGATGCCAACAAGTCCAGGGAGTATTTTGCCTGAGCTCATGGTATTTCTGAGTGGGTTTCACAAGATCATGCCTGAATCTCACCTCATCTGTTTCAGATATCTAATCGGCCCAATGTGAAAAGACATATTATCCTCCCATGACAATTTCTCATCCTCACAGAGAGCAGTTCCTACCTCATGCCTATACGTGGGGAAAAATCTTTATACTGTAAGGTCAAAAGAGTGGAAGGAAAGGAACAAATTCCAAAGCATCTTTGGGGAGGTAGCAAGAGAAAAGTCAAATTCAGCTTTAACTTAATTACACCCACTAATGCCCTCCAAATTCTCTAGCCTCTAAGACAGGAAGACCTGATAGAAAGCTTCATCTGTCTTATAATTCTCACAGTCTTTTCTAATTTAGCTAATAGCTACTACATACATCCAATTCTTTGCATGATGAATAGCAACAGTTTATTGAACAACTGCCCAGTCATTTCACATAGATTGTACGCACCTATCTTGAACTCTCTGCTTTCTCATTCATTGTAGAGAAAGTTCAGAGTTTTAAGAGCATAAACTGACACTATTCACTAGACATTTATCCCCTCAAAATCTTCCTGAAAATAAACAAAAGACATCTATCATCCCTACATAGCAGCTTAAAATTTAATATCAGTCTGGACTGGAGGGAAATAGACTGCACACTTCATTCAATAATTCAATGAGCTTTTTTTCCTCTTTAAATTTTTATTACCCCACGTGCACCCCATGAGGACAGATATCGAAACAAATAAACACAAAAATGAAGACACCTACAAGCATGAAGGGCCAGCACAGCATCTTCAGTATTGAACTGTTTTGACATATCCTCTGGCAACAAAAAAAGTGAACCATAAAATATGTTATTTCCCTTATCCATCACAAGGTGCCCCCACAACAAGGGTGACATTATCCCCTGGCGCTGTGACAGTCTGTGTTGCCTGCAGTGGGACCAGTCACTTATGGTTTCCCTCACTTGAAAACCTGCCCCACTCTTTCCTCCCTCGAGTCCCTAGTCCTGCTGCAACTCTCAAAGAGGTCTCAGGTCTAAGAGCAGATGCAGAGAGGGGTGGAGGAAGCTCCATCCCAGTGCAGCACACTGCAAGGCACAACCTTTGAAGAGAGAGACAGTTTTTCTTCAAGGATCAAAAGCACTAAATTTTAATTACCATCTTGAGCAACTTTGTTGGGTTGAATAGTCAGGCCGTCTCTCTCCTAGGAGGGCCTGGGGCTTCTTCTTCTTCTTAATTAAGAAGCCCTAAGTATTTGACACATCTGTTAGTAGTCACTGGAATAACATTCCCGCAGATTTGCCATTACACAACTTTGTTTAACCTGTGAAATTCACCTGCAAGCCAGTAAATTCTCTATTCCAAAGATAAATCCCCATGTGTCCACAAATAGAACAGTTTTGCACCAAATCTTTCTGTGTCTCTGAGTTTTGATCTCGAGGGAAAAAAAMCAAAAACCCACTATCCTTTCTGCCCACACCAGCTGGAAGAAGTGTTCCAATAAAAAAATCTCCTAGTGCTTGGGGCTGGAGTACTGTAGAGCTCCTTGGTCTCTGATGGGATCAAAAAATGGGCAGCACTGCCGAAGCAAATGGCATTGAATAGGTGCTCATATAACTGGCCTTCAGACTCTCCATGTTGTTCAACATGTTGTTTGAAGCYGTTTCTGGGGGCCAAAATGATCCTCACTAAGAGCAGAAGCGCTTTTTATTGGTACCTACTGCCTCTGACACAGAAAGGTGTTACAAGTGGTACATGCTATGAGTTAGAGACTTGTTTTTCCACTTCCCTACAGGTAGGAGAGGGTTGCTGGGCCTTTAGAGTAGCACAGCTATTTAAATAACCTCTTAAAAAGGAGCTGAAAAGAAGCTACAGTTCCTGACCTATGAAACAATTTTAACTTCTACAGAGAAATGAAGACTCTTGGTGGTTAACTGGTGTGAGCAAGATGAGAGAAGTGCCCTGACCTTGGAATTTCCCCAGCAGAGAAGCTGGGTGAACTGACAGTGAAGCAGATGCCCAGAGGTTGCAAAACTGATCTCCTCCTGGGAAGATGATGTGCTTTCAGACAGCTTTGAAGTGC